TGTATACTGCCACTCCAAACTGCTTTAAAAGAAGCCAGTGTACAAGTAAATCAAGAAGATACTACTATTTCTCCATCATTTCCTTAGGAGCTGCATCCATTAAGGGCTTTCATTCCAGGTAAACCAACAGCACCTGGCTTTCAGATAGCCTTTCTGTGATAGTTAAATTTTCAACATTTTTTTGACCTGAGTTTTAATCCTCTGGAAACATTTAATTAACTCTTGGGGGTGTAATTTCTCTTTGTTAAGGTGATTCTTAACTCAGCTGACCCCTAAAGTGCTCATGGACCCACCTTGAAGCTTAAAAGAAAAATTTTCATGCAAGAGCAGAAGACTGGGACAGGAAGACTCTCAGAATGTACATAGAGACCAGTCATCAAGAAGGGTTTTCTGGCTGTTCGGTGGTGGCTCACACCTTTAATACCAGCACTTTGGAGGCACAGGCTGGGAGTTAGAGGCCAGCTTTGCTCTACAAAGCAAGTTCCCAGACAGCCAGGATTTTACACAGAGAAACCCTGTCTTGAAAAACCAAAAAGCGGGGAGGGATGATGGGAGGGCTTGGGAAAAATGGGTGTAGGGATAGGGGATACAATCTGTCCCCATTATTGCTTGCCTCAAAAACTCATTTCAGGACATTTCAGGGTGTTGGGTAACTGTTCTGAAGGTGTCTTCCTGTGCACTGTGAGATGACTAGCCTCATCTGTGACTTCTACTCAGTAGGTTGTCGTAGTACCTCATCCTCTTCCGGTCCTGACAACTAAACATAACTGAATATAGACATTGCTAAATGTCCCCCAAGGGCCCAAACTTCCGGTCTAGTACACCATTAGTCCAAGTCAACTCCTGTAGAAAAGGCCCAGCTGAAACAGTTGCACAAATGTGTATGTTGTGTGAACAGTGGTAGTTTATTGTCAGCAACTTCAGTGAGTTAGTGTTGGCCCCAAAAGTCAGCATAGTTTGAAAACTTTTGTTTTATGTTCATCACTTCCGAAGGCACACAAGAAAGAAGTTCCCTCGGGAAGCTTAAAGTTTATTATGTAATACAGGAGAGACATAGAGAGCTTGAGTGGCATGCTCTAGGTCCTATTACAAATCCCAAAACCATTAAATAAGTAAAAACTACCATTCCTAAGAAACCACATTGCCAAAAAAAAGGTAAAAGAAAGAAACCACATTGCCAGGCAGGGGTGATGCATGCCTTTAGTCCCAGCACTCGGGAGGCAGAGGCAGATTTCTGAGTCGAGGCCAGCCTGGTCTTAAGAGTGAGTTCCAGGACAACCAAGGATACACAGAGAAACCCTGTCTCAAAAAAATCAAAAACGAGAGGCTGGGGGGGGGGGATGGAGCTTGGGTTGAGGAGGGGATGATAAATCTCTGGAAAGGAGTTTCTTCTGCAGTGCCCCTGCTTACCATAAAAATTATCATCTACCTCTTGAAAGGCTCCCTTTCAATGATGGTGTCCAAAGACAAGACCTTGTATGTAAAGCTGAAATATTAAGGGAATGTCTTCAGGGAATAGCAGCTTTTACCAGTTGTATGTAACTGTAAACCTAGGTGTGTGTTATAGAACATACATTTACATTTATGTGGTAGTTTAGAGATAAAATCAGATTTTTGAGGCAGCCATTTTATGGGGTAGGGTAGAGAAGTAATGAGTCACTCCAAAGAACTTAGTCTTCGTTGTTGGCTGCTGTTGCTATGGAGTTCCTTCCTATCCCTGAACAAACTCACCTCTCTTAAGTGGCCATCATTACAAGTGTGCTTGGAATTACAGTTTGGCTTTTTTCATAGTACAGAAGGCACTGTTATTCTTACAAGACCCCCCACAAACACCAGAGCACCCATGTGTGACACACACCCCACACACACACCGTAAAGGCCTTATTGAACCTGCTTCCTGTCAACTTAAACAGTCTATGGACCCAGTTTCATTCCATCCTCTTGACAGTTCTAGTGTGGGGAGGAATTTTCAGTTACTGTTCACCTCTAACTTAGACTTAAATTTACAACCTAAACTTCCTTTGCCTTGCCTGTCTGAAATTTAATAAATTTCATACTATTTCAGTCCAATTTTCCTTATAAAATGTCTTTATCTATGCCATGTCAGTGTCTTCGTTTTTTTGTTTTTTTAATTATTTTGACTAAGCCTTAAGAAACATAAAATCATTATTGAGCATCCACGCTAGGTACTATTCGAGAGCATAAAATAAACATCAGGAGTCGGCCTGGTCAGAGAGGTCAAGGCTACTGAGTGTTTCCACAGGTCAGCTGTGCTTTTGATTCACTGCTGTCCTCTTGACCTGGGAAGAAGCTCTGCTCAGCTGTGTTTTCTCCAAACTAGGAAGCTGACTGCTCAAAAGCAGGGGTTAATTGGGCAGGTTGGCTGGAAAATCTGAAGGTGGGAAAAGTGCACAGAGGCATTGTGGTGACCACAAAAGGGAGTGAAGGATTGTGATTAAAGACCAAGGGAGAGGAGAATTAATAGGGCCAAATGGGCCATGATAGCTAGGGGCAGACAGCACAGCCTGGTGGCCATCCATAGGATTTCATCACTGTGAGCAATGGGAAATTGGCACAAGAGGGCTAAGAGGAGATGGTTTTGGGGCTGCAGAGATGTCTGAGCAAAGAGCACTTGCTCTTGCAGGAGTCCTGGGTTTGGTTGCCAGCACTCACATGACACTTTACAGCTGTCCATAACTCCATGTCCAGTGGACCCAGTGCCCTCTTCTGGCTTCCGTGAGTGGCAGACACAGATACCTAACCCACTTACTTATGCAAAAAGATGAATGTTTAATAAGGGCAGTAGCTGGTAACAGTTTGATGATTAGATGATTAGTCACATTAGTGAGGGCGAAACAGGTAAAGATGAAGTGCACGTGTCAGAAGGTGCTTGCTTGGCAGCGGTACACACTGGGGTGGTGATGCCTGGGATGTGCAGTCTGTGAAGAGGAAGTATTAGGGTGGTCCTTGGTTTCTGGATGTTTCTAGATCTGAGGGAATGGAATTAACTTGAGACACAGGAAAGAATCAGACCTAGATGTGCCAAGTAAATTAAGTTGATTTGAAACACTGGAAGGACTGATGAGGAAGTCACCGGTCAGAAGGAGCTGTTGCAGTGTGGAGGTGAAGGCAGAAACCTCTGAGACTGAAGAGCAGGGGCAGACTAGGATGACTTTTAATCTAAGCTTTACAATTTTTTTTTTTTTTTTTTTTTTTTTCCGAGACAGGGTTTGTCTGTGGCTTTGGAGGCTGTCCTGGAACTAACTCTTGTAGAGCAGGCTGGCTTCAAACTCACAGAGAAACAGCTGCTGGGATTAAAGGCATACCCCACCACCACTGAAAACTTTTATATTTCTTAAACTGGGTATATATGTATGTGAGTGCTGTGTGGCAGTGGCCAATACAGGTCGTTGGACCCCCTGAAGCAGGAGTTACAGGTAGTTGATGAGGTGGGAACTGTACTCACACTCTCCGGAAGGGCAGGAGCCATCTCTCCAGGCCCTTAATCTAAGCCCTTTCATCTAGCAGAAGACAGGTTAGTTAAGTGTATTGCTTTTCTTGCTGATGTGATAGAAAGACTGACAGTAGCAATCTAAGAGAGAAGGGGTTTGCTTTGGCCCCCAGTTCGTGGGCACAGTCCATTGTGGCAGGGAATTCGTGGCGGCAGGGGCTATTGGCAGCTAGTGAAGCTTGCATCCACAGGCAGGGGGCACAGTGAAGCATGCCAGTGCCTTACTTCTCTTTCTTCTGTCCTGATCCCACCCTGTGGAATAGCACCTTCCCACTGTCACTAACTTAATCTAGAGAACCCATCATAGGCATGCTCAGAGGTTCATCTCTCATGATCTTAGAGCCTGGTTGAGAAATACACCGACCAAAGTAGCAATCAGTTTTCTGTTGACTGGCAGGATTGGCTCTGCTCCCGCAGTCAGCAGTTCTTGGACAGCTGGAATATGCCAGATCTGCAATAGGTGTCAAGTATCCCACACCAGACAGGCTGGTCACAGCTGCCGCCCTTGTGGAGTTTATGTTCTAGTGCAAGGAAGTAGTAATAAGAAGCAAAAAGACCGTTTCTGCAGATGTTATCTGCCACAGAGAGTGACTGGGGCGAGTTTTTTTTGTTTGTTTGTTTGTTTTTGTTTTTTGTTTTTTTATCTTGTGCCAGCAATCTTTTTGACAAGGTGTACATAACAAAACTCACCTCCTAGCCAACCATTTTAAGGCATCCAGTTCAGCAGTGCTCACCTTGTTCACACTGCCATGAAGCCAACCTGCAGAAATGTCTGTTGCAAAGTCGGAATTAATTCCATTGAACAACTGCCCTCCCCTCTTTCCCAGAATCTGCCTCCAACCCGGAAACCCGGGAATCTAGTGGGTGCTAGGCAAGTGCTGTGTTGCTGAGGCAGGTCCCCAGGGAAGGCATACAGCTTTTGACTTCTGAGGGTTAAATATTAGAAACAGATCAGGCAACTGCATGAGATTTAGAAGCTCTGAGGAGCGCAGGGCAGGGATGGGGGTAGTAGCAAGGTGATGCTAGCCTGTGGTTGCTGCTCTCAAGAAGTCAAGACAGGAGGATAATCTTGAGTTTGACCAGCCTGGGCTGCCTACTGATTTCCATTTTAGCCTGAGCTATGTAGCTAGACTGCATCAAACACAAACGAAACAATGGTTGAAAGGCGGATGAAGACTGTAAAGATCTTTGCTTTGGTCTCTTTGGCAATACTTGCTAGGCCTCTACATAACTTTTGGTCTCAAGATTTAGAGTCTCTGGGCAAACTCCCCACTATCTGAACTTTCACTTTGTGGCTTAATCTTTTTGAACGTTGTTAGACGTTAGACTTGTATATCTTGTGGAAGCATGAGCCTGGGTCCGGGAACAATCAGGAAGGAACTGGACTGCACAGGCAGGCCAAGCAGGATTGGCGGGCTATCCCCCTCGGAGGCATGCCCTTGAGTAAATTCCGCCCACAGAAGCCCGCCCAAGAGTAGGTCCGCCTACAAGAAGCCCCGCCCACAAGAGTAGCTTGCCTGCGGTTCTGGCGCTTGAATAAGCCGTGCACCCATGGGTGAGGACTGGGCCCTGGGCCCCGCGCTGGGCTCCTCTTTGCTTCTGTGCTCCGCGCTGCTGGCCGCGGGGTGCGCGCTGGGCCTGCGTCTGGGCCGCGGGCGGAGCGTGGTGGAGCGTGGTGTGCTCGCCTGGCTGTGCTATGATGCCCTGGTGCACTTCGTGCTGGTAAGTGTTGCCCTGTCGCTGCCTGCCTCGGGTTCCGCCCCGGGGAGGAGGGCTGGGAACCTGAGGGCCTGACGTCCCAGGAGGCCTGAGGGAGTCACCTCTGCATAGGCTGATTCCCTGTACAGACTGAGCCCTACCTCCCATGTGCTACCTGGTCTACTATCAAAGGTATCCCCCAGCTGAGAATTGCTAGGGAAATTTCTCCTCCTCCTCTCCCTGAACCACACTCCTCATCTTATTTTTGGGGGGTAAGATGTATCTAGAAATGCATTTCTTGTAGCTTTCCTAATTTTGTATAATATAGGTTTTTAAAGTATGTCCCTATGAATATCTGAATTTCTCTGAAGTCTGTTAAGGAATCTTTTTCATCTCTAGTTTTATTATTTTAGGTCTGCTGTCTTTTGGTCAGTTTGGCTAAAAGTTTGTCAATCTTGTTAATCTTTTCAAAGAATCAGCTTTCTGCTTTATTGGAACTTTTTTATTTTTGTTGTTTATTTTATTAGTTTTTTTCCTGGTTTTAATTATTTCTTCCTATCTGCTATTTTGGAGTTTGGTTTATTCCTGTTTTTTTCAAACTCTTGAGATGCATCATTAAGTTATTTATTCTAACTTTGTTTTTCTTTTTAACATAGGCACTAAGAACTTTAACTTTCCCTCTTAGGACTACTTTATTTCATCCCACAAGCTTTGGTATTTTGTGTTTTCATTTTCATTTAATTCTGAGATCATTTTTTAAAATTTCCTTCTTGATTTATTAACTACCCACACATTCAACAATCTGTTGTTTAATCTTTAGTGTGTGCATTTCTGGTCTAGTGTACTCAAGCTGCAACCAGAAAGCAATCAGATTCTGTTTAAGGACATAACCTGAATGGCCTCTAGCTCAGTTTCCCGGGGAGGCCCTGGCCCCTCTGGAATCTCACGAGCCAGGTTTCCACTCCGTCTTTTCTCTCAGTATTCTAGTCTTCCAAACCTTTGCCAGAATGGCCTGTTAAACTTGGCTTAGAGCATTGTAGGACTTTTCTAGCCAAGGTTTCAAGCCATTCACATTCTTCTTACACTGCAGTTCCAAAGCCCAAGAACCACAGGGTCAGGTTTACCAAGTTTCTGTATTAGTTACTTGTGTTATTGCTGCAATGAAATTCTGATGAGAGAAATTAAAGCAAGGGTTAGTTTTGACTCACAGTGAGGGGCTGTGGTCCACTGTGGCAGGAAGGAGTGGCAAGAGCAGGAGAGCAGGAGGCAGCTGCAATCATCAGGTCCACAGCCAGGAAGTTCAGCCCATGGCTCATGCTGACAGAATGGTACCACCCTGGTATACAGTGGGTCTCTTCATCTCAGTTAACCTAGTATAGATAATCCCTGACAGGGAATGGTTCCCATGGTGATTCTAGATCCCATCAAGTTGACAGTTAACAGTTAAGATAAACCATAATGTAGCCTTAAAATTCACCTAAAATGAAGTGAATCACTTTTTTCATTTCTTTACTTGGTGTGGGGGTGGGGGATGTACCTGCCATGACATTGCATATGGAGAGCGGTGGACAACTTGAGAGTCTGTTCTGTCCTTCCCACTGCTGGGTTTTAGGGATCAAACTCGTATCCTGAGGTTTGGCTGAAGGGCCTTTATCCACTGAGCCATCTCGCTGGTCCCTCACCCCACTTTATAAGTAATCAATTGTACATAGGTAGTTCTACTGAAGTATACTCCATCCACAGGTAAAAATATAATCTTAAATACCTTTAAAAAAATAAAATCTGATCTACACTTCCTCTATTGTGAAGCTAAAGTCCATAGTCTTGAAATAAAAAGAAAACCCTGTGTTGGGCAATGGTTTAGGTCAGTATTGCCAGTTAAAGGTGCTAATGCCAGGTGTTTGCAAAGATGAAATTCCTTTTTCCCCCAATGATTTCCTAATATTATGTGCAGAGACTAGAGCAAGGTTCTTTCTCTCAAAGCCTTTGTTTAAAGAATTGACTTTTAAGCTACACAATCTCCCAAAGAACAAGGGTAGTAAGACAGGTACAGTGCGAGTATCTGTCACCCCAGCGCTTGGGAGGGAGGCAGGAAGATGAGAAATTCAAAGCCCTCTTGGTTACATAGTAAATTCAAGGCCAACTTGGGCTACATGAGATCCTGTCTCAAAAACAAACAAACAAACGAAAACAGTCCCACTTAAGGAAAAGTTATAGCTGTAACACTCCAGAAATATAAAAAGGTATTAAGATTCTCAAAAAATGTATTTGTCTGTCACCACCCTGTTTAAGTTGACTTTTCAAGCACAGATGGAGGTAACATCGCACACGCCTCAGTCCATGGTACCTGGAGGTCTGGTCTGATGTGTGGAATGGGTCTGTTCCCCCTGCTCCAGATATGAAGGAATTGCCCCCCAAGGATCATGTCGCTGTCTAGTTCTTCCCACCTAAGGTATTCTTTTCCATATATGGAGTGACCACTGACAAGCACAAGCCACTTGGTTGATAATTTAATCTCTCTGAAATTGAGGCATACCTTTCAAAGTCTAATAAGCCCACATTAATGGACATTTGTGGTCACTAACAGTGCTTTCGCTTGTGTCTTTGACACCAACCTGAAATCAGTGCGGAGGTGCTTGAATTAGCAGTGAGGCCTGTAAGGAATGTCCTTGCCTGTATTGGCTTTGGTTAGCAGTTTGCTCCAAGAGTATGTTGTTTTCTTTTAGTTGTTTCTGCCTTTAATGCTATGGCTGTCCAAATCAGCAACTTTAATTCATCAACTGCAGCTCAGACACTATCCGCAGCGGTTGGGCCACAAGAGCTGCAGCCTGAGGGAATTCTGTTCCCTCTGGCCCCAACTGTTTCCCTGCTATGAAGGGAACTTCTGTAAATCTCTCTCCCTCTAAAGAACTCAAGATTCAAAGGCTGAAGTAGAATTCTGCTCCTCAGAGAGGCTGAATAGCAAGTTAAGTAGCTCACCTTCTGAGTCTCTCCAGAAGCCCTCTGCTTCTCCTCAACCCTCCTTATAAACCCTTCTGCATGGGCTGGAGCGATGGCTCAGCTCTTAAAGGCTAGGCTCACAACCAAAAATAAACCCTTCTCCATCTGGATACTCCCTGCCACTTCCTGTCAGCTAGTTGCTGACCCAGCCTCCTGACTGCAGGGGAATTTTATTTAATGAAACACATCTTTGCATCATTAAATGTTCCAGAGCATAAACAAAAGTAGCACACCTTAAAATAATATCCTACGACATTTTCCCCTTTTTGTCTAAAAAAAAGAAGGTTTTAACCTTAACTATAAACAATAAGAACAATTATCAAGTAAAGATTACATTCTTAATGTAATAAATTCTAGTTCGTTTGTGTCTGGCAATTTAAAAGGAAACACTCCATTATCTATCCATCTTCATGAATCTAAAATTTTATACCCAATTACTCTCTGACTGCAGAGACTGATGTGGGGAGTTTGATGTGGGGAGACAGGTCTTAACTGTGGGCATGGCCTGGGCTGTTTAAGTGTTGGATGGTGAGGTGGGATTGAGGGGTCACCTGTGAGGTGGCGTTGAGGGGCGAGGGTGAGAAGCAGCAGAAGTAGACTGGTGGAGAAAAGAGCAGCAGAGTGTGGCAGGAGGAGAGGGAGCTGAGCAAGAAACAATTTCTGACAGAAAGAAGCTGAGTCGGGAAGTTGAGGGGTATGAGCAGGAGGTTCAGGGAGGGGTATGGACAAGTGCACAGTGGGAACAATCTTGCTGTGTGCTGGGTGCCCAGCTACCCTGGGCACTAGCTTGTCCTTTGATCAGCCTCCTTGGGATTTCTTATTAACATATTGTTCCTGCAGTGCTCTGTTTAGGCTTGTTCTTCAGGATAAAGGGCAGTTGTCGCCTGGGTTTCATTTGCGGTGTTCAGGCACCTTAAACTCCTGGTTTGTTGGTGTGCTTAGGTATTGCCTATTTCTAGTTACTGCCACCAGCTGCCCTCCCCATTCCGCTGCTGTCCCCCACTGAGTGTGCTTTCCTGCGGAAGCCCACCTCCAGCTCTCAGCATTCCTTATTTGCCTGCTCTTTGTGTAGGACTGAGGCCTTCTGGGCTTTCCCTGTCCATGTCTCCATGTTGTTGTATTTATTCATCTCATGTTTAGGCAGCCATGTTGGTAAGACTTTATAGGTTTAGATTCTGACATTCCCAGGAGACACAGCTCACAGCATGTTTTTTAAACACATAAACAACAGCAAAGCAAACACAACAGAATCCCTGTGCTTTTGTTTTTAGACACAGGATCTGGCTCTATAGTGCAGCTGTGTAGCGCAGGTTAGTTTCAAACTGACATTCCTCCTGCCTCGGCCTACATGCTGAGATCATAGACCATGCCACAACATACAGCTTTGAAAACTTTTCATGCCACAAAATGTTTTTCTTATATTCTTGGTAATGGAGAAGATATGGGTGAAATATCTCAGTCCCTGGTGATTCCTTATAACATTAAACCAAATTTATTTTATTCATTTCATTATATTATTGGTGTGTGTGTGTGTGTGAGTGTGTGTGTGTGTGTGTACACATGTATACATTCTTGGCCACCTATAACTTTTTTGTTGTTATTACATTTATTTATTTATTTATTTATTTATTTATTAGGAGGGGTGCGCGTGTATACCGCAGCATGCATGTGGAGGTCAGAGGACAGTTTACAAGCATTGGTTCTCTTCTTTTACTATGGAATCCTGGAGAGCAAGCTAGTCAGGCTTGGCAGCAAATGGCTTTATCCACTGAGCCATCTCCCCAGAATCCCATGACTTTCTTCCCTCTTTTTCTCAGTATGTACTGTAGAAGGTAAAGCAGCGCCAGGCCCACCTGCTGCCATTGACCAGCTAATCCTTACAGGTGACTGCTTCCAAACAGCAGCCAGTCCGGGAGTTATCTCCTCTAGAGTTGGTGTGTTCCATCCTCATCTCTGGTCCAGTCACCTGTAGCCAAAAGCGTGGCCTCCCATAGCTATTGTGGTGGTTTGATTGAGAATTCCCC